CGCAGCGTCCAGTCCGACTTCCTGCTCACCATCCTGAAAGACGTGGTCATGAGGAGGTCCGACCTGCGTCTGGTCCTCATGAGCGCCACGGTGGACTGCGACAAGTTCTCCAACTACTTCAGCCGCTGCCCGGTGGTCAGCATCCCCGGAAGGACCTTCCCGGTGGAGGTAAGACGCCCGCCTTCTGGTTTGAAAGCGGACCAGGAATCGGGCGGCCTGACCCCCTCTTGGCTTCCAGGTGTATCATCTGGAGGACATCGTGGAGGAGACGGGCTACGTCCTGGAAAAAGACTCCGAGTACTGCCAGAAGATCCTGGAGGACGAGGAAGAGGTTTCCCTCTCCGTCACGCAGAAAGGTGGAAAGACCCTGCAGCACCAGGTAACGTCGGAGTTGAATCAACGACCAATCACAGTCACAGGCATCTCCAGAGGTGGTGATTTGTGATAAGAGGCTAAAAAATACGAACAAATAAATGTGAATATTTCCGAAACGCTTTCAAAGTGAGAGAAGATGTTTGACATTCAGTTTCTAAATGCGCAGTTTCTGAAGTCTTGATTATCTTTCTAAATGTCCTGATAATGTTTCAGAGTGAGACTCTGTACTCCCCTTTCAGGATGTCATAATCAGGGACTCCTCCGCTGGCAAGTCGGCCATTTTGATTAGGTCATGTGACTAGCAGCTTTCTAACGTGGAAACGAAACTTTACTGTCTATACGAAATCGGAAGACAAACGATATCCCAACCCTAACCCTAACCCTACCCTAACCCTGACCCTAAACCTAAACCTAACTCTGACACAGTCACAGGCATCTCCAGAGGTGATGATTTATGATAAGAGGCTAAAAAATACAAACAAATAAATGTGAATATTTCCAAAACGCTGTCAAAGCTGGAGAAGAGAGGAGATGTTCAGTTCCAAAAGGCTCAGTTTCTAAATGTCCTGATAATGTTTCAGAGTGAGACTTTAATAGACTCTACTTTCAGGAGGTCATAATCCGGGACCCCTCGGCTGGCTGGGACCTGGGCCCGGACCTGGACCACTTCAGCAGCCGGACCCGGCAGGTTCTCCAGTACATGAACCCCAACAAGATCAACATGGACCTGCTCCTGGACCTCGTGGACTACCTGGGTACTGCTTTTTTTTCTAGAGCATCCTGGACTGCCATCATGTGCACGTGTGTAAATATAAATATTTCTCTTCTCTGCCAGAAAAATCCCCCCAGTTTGCAGATGTGGACGGAGCGGTTCTGGTCTTCCTCCCCGGTTTGGCTCACATCCAGCAGCTCTACGACCTCCTCTCCTCAGACAAAAGGTTCAGGGACAAAAACAGGTGAGGAACAAGGGGGCGAACCAGGCCGGATGTCGGGTTTATGCTTACCTGGAACCTCTGTTTCCCTCTGCCCAAAAGGTTCAGGATCGTGGCCCTTCACTCGACCCTTTCATCCAAAGACCAGGCCGCTGCCTTCACAGTGCCCCCTGCTGGAGTCAGGAAGGTACTTTTTATTTTAGGTGGAACGGAGGAAAGTCGTCCCTCTGTTTCTCCAGTTTGAACCGACTCCTGTGCGCCTCCCCTAGATTGTGCTGTCCACCAACATCGCCGAGACTGGTGTTACTATTCCCGATGTTGTTTTTGTGATCGACACTGGGAAGACCAAAGAAAATAAGTAAGGAACTCAGTTATCTTCTGTTCTGATTGGAAATAATTTAACAAATGTTGCCTTATTCTGTGATTTAAATTGACCACAGAGGGAATTATTTAAAGTTATTCAAGTTTAAGTTTAACATCTCATTTTATTTTGTTTTTGCTGCTATTTGTTTTGTGGGTATTTTTTTCATTATCATTACTACAGCTCAGCCTGAAAACATTACCGTTTGGTCATTTGCTGGGTTAAAATCCTACTATAAACTTTGATTAAACTGTGTTTATCTCAGAGAGGTTTGCATATAGAAAAGGGTTTGAAACCACTTTTCTCGCAGTGTTATAAACAAAAATCAGTTCTATTCGAGAAACTAAAGTGTGAAATACTGTGGTATAAGAGGTGTTAATGGCATTAGGGGTCTCATGTGTTAACATTAATATAAACAAATGTTTTCCTGCACAATCTTTTGAGGTAAAAATAGCATTTGTTTAATCAATAAGCACCTATCTTTTATTTGGCTCATGTTATTTTCCTTGGCTGTCACAGCTCTTGTGGTCACACAATATGGATCAAACTTTGGATCAGAGTAGCAATCCTCCAGTTTTTCGGTAGATCAGCCCCGTCTCTTTTCCCGCTGTGTTTGCTCAGGTACCACGAGAGCAGCCAGATGAGCTCCCTGGTGGAGACCTTCGTCTCCAAAGCCAGCGCCCTGCAGAGGCAGGGGAGGGCGGGACGCGTCCGGAACGGCTTCTGCTTCCGGCTCTACCCCAAATACAGGTACCGGCGCTCAGCCCTCCCTTTAGAGCAGCGTTTTTCAACCACTGTGCCTCGGCACACTAGTGATGGTCAGGTGTGCCGTATAAAATCCTCCTATTTCACCTAATTGGTCTAAAAACTTTTTTTTGATAAGGAATTAATTTTCTGCAAATAATGTGCCATTTTGGAGTGTCTGTGCTGTTCTAGTGACTGGTGGTGTATTCATGTAATAAATCCTTATATGACTAGATTTTGTATATAATTTTGCATATTGAAGTGGACATGTTAAGTGCAATTTGAAAGAAGAAATATAAAATGACATAAAAATACATTTTTGTGTTTATTTGATTCCTATTCATGACACTCAAGGTAAGATAAGAATAAAATAAGAATAACTATAGTGTTACTATAGGCGGCTACAGATTTGTTTGACATTTTTGGTCAGTGGTGTGCCTCGAGATTTTTTCAATGAAAAACTGTACCTTGGCTCAAAAAAGGTTGAAAAACACTGCTTTAGAGGTGCTCCAGAGGCCGCTTCACGCCCGGTTCTGCCCTGTTTTCCTCCTCAGGTTCGACGCCTTCATGGATTACTCCGTTCCGGAGATTCTGCGCGTCCCCCTGGAGGAGCTCTGTCTGCACATCATGGTGAGCCGGTCAACTCTCTGTGGCCCTCGAACGTCTCAACTGGAAGCTGAATCGGTTTTTTTTCTCCCCTCCCTCTGGTAGAAATGTCAGTACGGCTCCCCGGAGGACTTCCTGAGCCAGGCCCTGGACGCCCCTCAGCCCCAGTCGGTCAGCAACGCGGTCAGCCTGCTGAGGAAGATCGGCGCCTGTCACCCGGACAACCACTGCCTCACCCCTCTTGGTCACCACCTGGCCAGCCTGCCAGTCAACGTGAAGATCGGCAAGATGCTCATCTACGGAGCCATCCTCGGCTGCCTGGAGCCCATCGTACGTCCCGCAAAAAACTGCTTCGTACCACCACATCCAGCCCCGTCCGCACATTTAAGGTTCCTTAACGGTTCGTTTCAGGCCACGATCGCGGCGGCCATCACGGAAAAGTCTCCCTTCTCCACTCCCATGAACAGAAAGGAGGAAGCCAACCTGGCCAAAGGCGCCCTGGCACTGGCCAGCTCGGATCACCTGACCATTTACAACGCGTATCTGGGGTATGGTCTTAAATTTGAATGTGCAAAACGTAGGTGAAGGAGCTGATTGTCCTTTTCTCATTGCGAAACGGAACGAAAACAGCCTTCCCCTCCTGATTGGAGCAGGTATTAATACCTCTGTATTCCTATTGGGATGAATCTGACTCAGGGCACTCTTCTCCGATATATTTAGCTAAAAAAGCTGGACTTTATTTATTTGTTTATTTATTTTATTTAATTTTTTTTACCCTGGACTTTATTTATTTATTTATTTATTTATTTATTTATTTAGTTAGTTAGTTAGTTAGTTATTTAGTTATTTATTTATTATTTTGATTTTTTTTACCCTGGACTTTATTTAAACGTTTGCAGAAGTAAATGGATTTATTTTGCACACTGTGCCTAAAGATACCTTTTGTGCGACGTTTTTTCTTATGTGTAGACAACTTTTCTTTAAGGTTTATATGAAAAAGCTGTTGGCAGTTTCAGGCTTTCTGTAGAATTTGCAGGTTTTATTGCCTCAGCCGGCTTTCATCAGTCGTTGATTCCTGTGAATGACTGTGAAGGGAAGCTGTTGAAACCATGGTCACCATGACAAAAAAACACATGATTTGACTTTTTGGACTTTAAAAATAGAGAAGAAATAAAGGACACGGCTTCTTATTTGACAAGAGTGCTTGACAGTTTACTTTGACAAACTTCAAAGGAAGTTTTTCCTTTCCTGTGTCGCCTAGTGCTTGCTCATGGTGGGAATTGTTGGGGTTCTGTAATTAACTTCAGAGTAGGGTCTGACCTGCTCCTGTTTGGAAAGCGCTGTGAGACAACTGTTGTTGTGATGTGGCGCTATATAAATAAAATTGAATTGAAAAAATAAAACTGAATTGACATGAGTCTCCTGCCATGAATGGAAGGGGCAGTTCTGGCTCTGGTGACCTCATTTTTTCTTTATCTCTGACCGTCTCAGGTGGAGAAACTCGCAGAGCGAGGGGCCGAGGGGGGAGGCGTCCTTCTGCCGGAAGCACTTTCTCAACCGAACCGCCCTCATCACGATCGAGGTAAAACGGGAGGGCTTCTGTAGTGGATTCATATCCTACAGTGAATATATTATCACAAAAGATTAGTAGTAAGTGCATTAATATATATATATCTAAAAGAAAAGTAGAAGTAACTTGTAGCTGGGATATATATATATATAAATATATAAAAGGAAGAAACCATGGTTCAGAGGCTAAAACATAATAAAGGCTATGTGAATGCATAAGAACGGCAAAACAGAAATAAAGGGCCAAAGTACAGGACCGTGTGAAGGCCAGCTGTAAGGCCAGCTGTGAGGCATGGAGGAAACAGGCACCTGAGGCCCAGGACCAGTGCCGGTAGAGAGAAGGGTAACAGAATGCTCATGGACGGTGCCCCGTGGAGGGTAAGGGAACGACGTCATAAAGGAGGGGCTCAGGGAGGAGCCCCGATAAAGGAGGGGCTCAGGGTGGAGCCCCAAGAATCGAAAGGTATATAAGCAGAACGATCGTCCCAAGAGAGTTAGTTGTTAGCCTGGCTAACAGCTCATGTGGTTGACTTGTATTTGCTGCAATAAACCACTTTGGACCGGGACCCAGCTGCCTCTGCTTCTTCTTCAGGACTTAGAATAATTCTTCAACTGCTCCTTCAAGAACTTAGTATTTTTGCAAGACTTAGAATAATTCGACGCGTCGTTGAGAGGACATCCACGACACTTCCCTCTGTGTCCCGTTTCCCGTTTCTGACCCCCCCCCGTCTGACCTATCCTCTCCTCTCCGGTTCTCAGAACGTGAAGCAGGACCTGATGCGGATGGTGGAGCAGGCGGGGTTCTGGTCCCCCGGCCCCTCCCCGGGCTGGAAGCGGCCGCCCCCCCCCGCCCCCCCGACCCGGGAGCGGGTGGCCGTCCTGAAGGCGGCGCTGGCGGCGGGGCTCTACGACAACGTGGGCCGGCTGCTGTGCACCCCCTCCGTGGACGTGCTGGAGCGGGTGGCCTGCACCGCCGAGACCCCCCAGGGCCGCGCCCAGGTCCACCCCTCCTCCGTGAACCGGAACCTGCAGACCCACGGCTGGCTGCTCTACCAGGAGAAGGTGGGGCCAGTGGAGCCTTTTTAGGGTTTTTTTATTTATTTATTTATTTATTTTTACTCAAGTCCATTTTTTTATATAGTACTTGTACTTCTACTCCACTCCTCTACTCCAGTACTTTATACTTCTCTGGTCAGTTCTCCTCCATTCCAGCTTGCAGCTAATAGACTGAAAATGAGAAGAAAATGAGTTAACTCATTGGCTGCCAAAGACGTCTATAGACGTCTTTTATGTTTTTCAACGAGAGTGGCTTGAGGGACGATCCGCTAAAGCTTGTCCGTAAATATCAGGCTTCTAGACAGAGTATGTAGTAACAAATTGACCCTCTAGGGGGCAGTGCCACTTTTGATGGGAGATGAGCATAGACTGTAGGCAAATAAGAAAAAGGTAACGGTTCGCTAGGAGAGAACATGTCGCCGGTGAGACGCAAGTCGAGGAAGAACGGAATAAAGTAGAAACACTTTTTTTTTTTTCCTGATGAAAGAAGAGAGTTTACTCTTTCTTTTGGTGTGTTCGGTGTTTACATAGTCATAGCACAAACTATTCTGTGGCTCTTGAAAAATCAGTCAAAATGCTCAAAAAACTCTGCCAGTCAATGAGTTAATTATGTTTATTGAATTTTCCAAAAAAATACACATAAAAGTCACATAAATGTCCAGACATTTTGAGTCATATTCAAACATGGTAGTACAAATAAACAAAATCTCCCAATCCCTCCCTCCCTCCCAATGTAGGACTACAGATTGTAGAATAAATCCCACCATATAAAACATATAAAATTAAATTAAATAATAATAGTAATAATAATGATAATAATAGTAGTAATGAGAATAATAATAAAAATATCACTGCCACAATCAGTAAAAAAAACAATAATAATAAAAAATTTAAAAAAGGGGGCGTGGGGGGGGGGACCTGTGCGTTATTACTGTACATCAAGAGGTTCTTGTAGTGAGGGTTTTTTTAGGTTTTTTTTTATTTTTTAATTTTAATTATGTTTATTGAATTTTCCCAAAAAATACAGATAAAAGTCACATAAATGTCCCCACATTTTGAGTCATATTCAAACATGGTAGTACAAATAAACAAAATCTCCCAATCCCTCCCTCCCTCCCAATGTAGGACTACAGATTGTAGAATAAATCCCACCATATAAAACATATCAAATGAAATTAAATAATAATAGTAATAATAATAATAATAGTAGTAATGAGAATAATAATAACAATATCACTGCCACAATCAGTAAAAATAACAATAATAATAATAAAAATTTAAAGGAATTTAAAAAAAGGGGCATGGGGTGTGTGTGTGGGCTTCTAGATTTTTTTTTTAAACCGGTAACAACGATATCCGTCCATAAATGTCCCCCCACAGGTGAAATACGGCAAGATCTACCTTAGAGACACCACTCTGATGTCTCCTTTTCCCCTGCTGCTGTTCGGGGGCGACATCGACATCCAGCACAGAGAGAAGCTCATCACTTTAGACGGATGGATCCACTTCCAGGTCCGAGTTGCTCCGGGACCAGAACATTTAATCCAGTCCGTTTGATCTGTGTTTGTTCTTCCGATTATTTCCCTGAGCTAAATCATTAAACAACTAAGGTTCTTTAAACTGCAAGTAAACTGAGATTAAAATACTACTTTTGGTTGGAAAAGCGCTCTGCGGCTTGTTCTCTGGACAAAAAACGAGGTTTTAGTTAGAAAAAGTCCTTTCTCTGTGTTAAAATCAGCTTTTTCCACCTTTCAGGCTCCAGTGCGCATCGGAGTGATCTTCAAACAACTGAGGAAACTGATGGACTCGCTGCTTGAAAAGAAGCTGGAGAACCCCAGAATGAGTCTGGAAGGTAAACCCGGGCATCAAAAAGCAAAAACGACAGCTCTCTCATAAAGAAAGTCAGAAAGAGACAACACATTTCTGCTCACGGCTAAAATAGCCACGCTAAAACAAAAACACTCATCAATGCCGGCCTTTTTTTTGTCCTTTCTTAACTGACACTTTGAGCATAATTTTAGTATTAAGCAAGAAATTAAGCAGTAACATGATTTGTTCTTTCAAATAATACATGTATTATTACTGTTTATCAGTCCCCTGAACATTTTTGCCTAAATATTATTAAGAGCACATTCCACATATAGTGAGTATTTTAGTATTTTAGTTATGTTAACACACAGTTGGTGTGTTAACATAACTAAAATACTCCCCAAAAAGTCTGTCTACTCTAAACTGGCAGCTGTTTTCTGAGGCTATGAGGCGTGATTATTCTAAAAACATTTGTGTTTAGTCGAGTCGGACGGGCTGGAGGCTGATTGGAGCTCACATGTTGTATCATGCAGCTATATTACAGAACAGGTTTAAAAAAAATATATATATACATATATATATGTAGAGCTCATGAATGGAGTCTGAGCATTGACACCAAAGTCAAGTCAACGGATTAGCAGGATGCTAGCTTAGTTTTGGTTGTTTTTTTTGCTCCCTGTGATTAAAAAAAGGAGCTTTTAAATCTAATATAAGATTCGTCTGCATGTAAATACTTTAACGTCTGCTCTGTTTGAATTATTCTGTCTTGTCTCACGTAGGTGAAACAACCATCCAAGTGATTCTGGATCTGATCAAGTCGGATCACACCATGTAAAATCCACGTGGAACTGCCACATCCCGTCTTCTGAGCAGTTTTAGGTCCCCCAGAACGATCGTGATGCTTACATTGAGGAGGACTAAATACAGGAATTTCAACAACGATGTTACCTGAAAAGCCGCTGTTTTGTTTCACATTTCCCATCCAAAATGGCCGACCATCGAAATAAAATCTTCATTAATAGTCCACTGAAAGGTTAGAGCACCTCTTCTGGGGCGCTGTCCGCATGTGAAGTAGACTCACTAAAAACTGGCACAGAATGCATTTCATTGTCAATTTCATATATTATGGAGCTGTAATAAAAAGATTTTTGTCAAGCAGAGCAAAAGCCTGCAGCAAAATGAAAAGAGGAGCAGGTTTTGTGTTTTCTGTGGACTGAGAACCTCAACCCTGAGTTTCTGTTTCACATCAGAGAGGGGAAAAGTTGAGTTGTTGATTATTTATCAGTTTAAATTCCCTCAGAACATAAGCGGATTCATTAGGAAATCAATCTTAGGTCGTTTCTCAAATAGCACGGTATGAAAAGAACCTCCAAAAATGTCATGTTTATTACTTTCTTTTGTAAATGAAGAAGTCAGCAAAAAAAATATCAGATTCCTCACAATGTTTATTTCCCATGACAGCGGGTGGTATCAAAGCCTTCTGCTGGGTGTCAATAAGCAAATGTAGGCAGTAAACAGGTTTGAAGAGCAAAATTATATTTAGATATTCAATCCTTTTGATTCAACCCATTTGATTTTGAACACACTTTTTTTTTCAGGGAAAATTAAACAACTCCAGCCCTGCTGTAGTTTTCGGAAAACACTCTGCTTCCTATCTGGAATCAATGATTATATAAAGCCTAAAAGGAAAAATGTGATGAACCGGTTGAGGAAACAGAGTTTTAACCACGAGTTTAAGTAACCGAAAGTAGCTTTCCTGTCTACGTGGAGCGGCCAGCTATTTTCACACCAAAAAGTAAACATATGACACATCCCTGCACTTATCCCTGAAGCTCGAAACATTCATAAATAAATAGAAATCAGACAACGAAAAAGGGATAGGATATATGGAGTGACAGTCTTACAGGAAATGAACAAGCTAGAAGTCAATTTACTGCAATTAGGTACCAAATGTCACCGATCATATTGCTTTACTCATAACCTTCCCAAACTGATTAGATTTCAAATATACATTTTTTTAAATATCGACAAAAAAAAGCCAATTTGAGTCTGTAAAAGGCTCAAAAGATCACCCGAAAACCAAACAATGGGGTTAACATATCAGTGTGACAGCATGAGGGAAGTAAAAACATACAACCCCGGTTATGACTAAAGCTTTTCACCACTTCTGACTCATCGAGAGGAAATGAGAGGAAGCCGGAAGAAGCCCATCACCAGGTTTTCTGTTAGTACTGGATTACGCTGTATCCCGCGTCCTGCACCACCGAGTAGTGTGGGTCATCTGCAATCAGTGCACAAACACATCTGTAGAGAGTTTTTAGGCTTTAAAACA